GCGACGGGGTTGCTGGAGTTTGGGGATTTCGATTTAGGTGAGTTTGGGACTTAGGGTTTTAATTTGGGGGAATTGGGGTTCTGACTTATGTTTTCATTCTAAAGCAAAAAAAAAAAAAAAAAAATTGTGAGTAATGGGATTTGAACCCACGTCTCATGAGTGGTAGGATGGGAAAAAAACCACTAGGCTGCAAGCTAAATCCTTAATACATAGTGTTTTTTTTTTTTTTATAAAATAATAGGTGGTCCGCGGACCCACTATGACTACACGTGGGTCCGCCACTGCTTGTGGGATACTGCAGTATGCCAATTTAAGTGGAATGGTTATTGGTTACACGATTACTGCATCAATAAGCATGGTGTAAGTCCATCTATTACGAATTGATTTACAATGAAGATGTATAATTGCATCAAGCTAGCTAATTTACGTTCATTGTCGAAAATGTTGCAGGGCAGTGCACAAGTCTAATTGCTTCCACAGAAAAGGCCATTCTGCTTCTTGCAAGTTTAGCAATAATCCTTATATGATTGGTTTGGGAGTTTTCGAGATTTTTTTGTCACAAATTCCCAACTTACATAACCTCACAATTTTGTCAGCTATTGCCGCGGTTATGTCTTTTGGGTATTCTTCAATAGGCATTGGACTTGCTATTGCTACCATCATCTCAGGTACAGAGTAAAGGAGTAATCTACCTTTTATAGCGCGATAAGCTGATAACTAATTGAAATTTTTGTTAGTTATGACATTAATTTATTTGTGCAGGGAAAGGAGGGAAGACAACCTTAACAGGAGTAGAGGTAGGAATCGATGTAACAGTTGCTGATAAAGTATGGAGGGCATGTAGAGCCCTGGGAGACATCGCGTTTACTTACAGTTTCTCTGCAGTCCTTGTTGAAATACAGGCGAATATATGTGCATTTGATTTGTGTTTCAATAAAAAATTTAACACGGTTTGATAATGTACAAAATTTACATTAGCATTTGGTTATATTGACCTCAGGATACGCTAAAATCGGAACCACCAGAGAACCAGGCGATGAAGAAGGCAAATGGGATATCATTGTTCACAGTCACAGCCTTTTACATGATGTGTGGTATCTTAGGCTATGCTGCATTTGGGAATGATGCACCTGGTAACATGTTAACCGGATTTGGGTTTTACGAGCCTTTTTGGTTAGTAGATGTGGCCAACATTTTCATCGTTGTCCATTTGGTGGGTGCATATCAGGTACATATAAAATAAATCAACTTATCATATACCAAGTTATATTTATTATATAACGTGTTGAACTCAAATATTTGTTATGATGGGCCAGGTTTTTACTCAGCCCGTGTACTTATTTTACGAAACATGGGCCCGGGAGAAATGGCCCAACTCAACATTTGTAAACAAAGAGTACCCGATCAACATTAGCAACAAAACAGTGTTAAGCTTCAACTTACTTAGGCTAACTGGAAGAACCATATTTGTGGTGATAGCAACCGTATTGGCAATGGCAATGCCCTTCTTCAATGACTTCCTCGCGCTACTCGGAGCAATCGGGTTTTGGCCACTGACCGTATATTTCCCGGTGCAGATGCATATTTCTCAAAGAAAGATCAAACGAAGTTCAGTGAAGTGGTGTGTGCTCCAACTGATCAACTTCTTTTGCTTGCTTGTTTCCTTAGCTGCTGCTGCTGGGTCTATCCAAGGAGTTGGAGAAACTCTTCGTAAGTCCAAGCCATTTCAGTATAAAGTTTAAAAGTACAAAACTTTGATTTTATTTTTTGTCTTTTAAATTGTAATAATATGTATAGAGTGATTGTTGATTGATGCTCCTAAAATCACTGTAGTTAAACATGTCAATGGGTTTGTTTAATGAACATGTTTTTAATAAGTTGATTTATTGTAATAATAAGGAATTTATGTAGTGGATCACATAGTGGTTTGTGTAGCTAAGTTTTAAATACGATAGTTAATTAGTTAATAGGATATCGTTTGTACTTTGTATGGAGTATATAACCTTGTCAATTCGGTTAAAGTATGACCCCTATATGTTGATGTAACTTGTTCAGTTAATTATATGTTTGATGGATTATATCTAAATATCTGAGATTAAATCTCGTCTATATTTATATTGACATGTAAAGACCAAAATTTAATGGAATCTAAAATATCTATAGCTTAGCACATGTTCAAAAGATGATTCAAAGAAAGATAACACTAAAAATATAAAAATATGCCCTAATTTCCCCACTACACTCCCACTCACAGTCACCAGACCAACCCACTGCACCTTGCTGAGGCTGCCAAAGTGAACCAAGCTTGAGAGTAGACTTAAATAAAATAATATTGCATTAAGCATACTTTAAGATCACAATTTACTACTATTTAATTTTCTATTACCTAAAAAGATGATCTCCAACTATTTTGTTCCTCAAGATTTTGTCAAAACCCAACTGTAAGTATGTAATTAAAAGATGCTTGCCAAATTATAAAGTGTAATTATTACTAATGGTCCCCTTAATGCAATTTCAATGGACCAAATTATAGTGTTAATGTGTTATCACTATTATCATTCCCAAATTAGTTGTTTGATTAACATAGTCTTTACTAATTTAGGATGTAACATGATTAATAAAAATCAATTATTTAATAATCATGGAAATATATAGGATCACTTGTACTATTATTATTTTGGAAAATAAAGTTATGAATAGTGAACAGAAAGTTATAAACTGGGAAATCTAATTGATATACTGAAACACAAAGTACTATACATGTAAGGCCCTGTTCTCATCTGATTATTTTCACTTTAGTTCAGTTTAGCTTTTAATTTCCTTCTCTCATAAAATATTCATTTCATTTCACTTCAGTTCAATTCAGTTCAGCTTATTTCAGTTAATGAGAACAGACCCTAACTTTTTATGTAAAGTATTCTGAAACAATATTAAATATGTACACAAAATTATGAGTTTTAACTTTTCAACAATAATAAATAGCTTAGAGTATTTATAGCTTTAGTTGTACTCTAAAGTTATCGTTAATTGATATAGTCAATTACTCAACTTGGGTCATCCCCTTCAATAAAAATTATCGAGAGTGTTAGTGCCGAAAAAATAATCTGGTTTTGTTAGACGTTGAAGAGATAGATTGAGAACGGCCAAAATATAAAATAGGTGGATCATTATTCCACTTATCATCAATTAATTTTAAGATAAAACTATGCTAAGCTTATATGTATGTGGTCATACTCTTCTTTAACGTGGATATATGCTTATTGCTTAATCTAATGAAGTTTATCAGATACAATTTACTTTTGTCTTTTTGATATATTCTAGCTATAATGTTCCAAACACCAACTTTATTTGCAAAGTTAATTCATGCTTTATTAGATGAAAAGATATTGGGAACCTTAAAAAGTAGTAACAACCCTTTAATTACAGCCTACAAAGTCCATATCAAAGTATAAAACGGAATTTTAGGTGAAGAAAAGGTTATTATTAAAGCTAATCAAATACATAAGAAATAAAGATGCTTCAAAGTTTGATATCCTCACTTTGTAGAATTGTTGGTCTTACATACACACCGTTGAACGAATTATTTGTAACTTTTTTTTTTTTTTGTCATAATTAAGATAATTCATGACAAATAAGTGATTAAAGGTCTGTTCTCATTGACTTAACTGAATTGAAATAAAAGAAATATTTTATAAGAAAAAAAATTAGAAGCTAAATTGAACTGAATTGAATTGAACTTATTAGAGCTGAATTAAACTAAAAATAATCGTAGGAGAACATGCCTAACTCTATGATATAATGTTACTTTTGACAATTACTCCGTACAAATCTAAAATATTTTATTTCCACGAAAAGTAAAATTGTTTTCAACATTTCGTCCTATCCACCCACACCAAATATGCAGTGATTGGTCAATTGGTAACAACTCACAAGTCAAAACTCTCAAGTTATGAGAATTAGAGTAGGTCTCGTAAAAGTAACCTTCTTTGACTGAAAGTGCGTGTGTAACATCACTATGGCCATGTTTGGTAATTGGTTTTTTAGTGGCTTTTTGTTAGCTTTTAGTTTTTGGCTTTTTTAGGCGGTCAAACAGACAAAAAATGTATTTGATAATTGACTTTTTAGTCAGCGAAAAAGCTGGCTTTTAAGCCAAAATGAAAAAGCTGTTTTGAGTAGTTTTTTTGTTGGCTTGTTGGGTCACAAATTATCTAATAAACAGCCAACAACCAACAATTAATTTACCAAACACTTTTATAAACAGTCAAAAGCCATTATAAACAGCCAAACATTCCAGCTAGTCAAACAAGCCAAGTGAACCAGCCAACAACCATTTGCCAAACAAGGCCTATATCAATGTGAAAGGTTAAGATTTATACTTTCTCCGTTTTTAAAAGTTGATCTCATTACATTTTCTGGTCAAAATTCAAATGACATGAAAATGAATTTTCATTAATCAACAAAGGGTAATACTCTGTATAAGATATAAGATATAATATCATACTTGTAATTTAGAGTATATTCCAAAAGTAATTTTCAACTATTAGTTGGTGGTGCAATGATAAATGTGTGAAATAAACAGAAAAATTCAAATAAATTTACAAATATGGAGTATAAAAGAAGAAATATAATAAGTGTGGTAGCTTTAATTTGTTTTCATTTACGAGTATAAGGTATTAGGGGATTCCAATTAATGAAATCATAAATTAAAGATATTTGAACCAAATCAATGAGATGCTTTCACTAATCATGATACTTATTGGCTTGGTTTTAAAACGTGACAACTATTAAGGTGTGAGTTGTGTGACATTTATAATTAAGTCGTATAAGACGACTTCATATTACGAGTACTCTGTAATAAATTACTTAAGGGCGAGTGAAAAATACATATGTCACATTGTCACCATGTTTAGGGACAAACGGTATAATAATTGAACATTGCATTGTGTTGCAAATATTAATATTTGTAAAATACTTGCAAGATTAAAAAAAAAAAAAAAAAAAAAAAAACACTTAATTTAGGAGTTTCATATATAAGTAGCACAAGAGCCTAGTCACAAGTGACATAACAGTCTCTCCCACTTTAAAAATAGGGAGAGAGTATAGTGTGTGAAAGAACAAGAGTATTTTTCCTACCTAAATTATTTCTCAAATTATTGTAGGGCAATAATAAATTGCCCGCTTAATTTTGTAAATTCAGATTTTGGTATATTTTGTGGTTTTTCCAAAATGAGAGGTAGAAAAGATGAGGAATTCCAGCAAGGTGGTGTTGATTCATTGGCTACTAATTACAAGTTTGCAGATGATGAGGAATTTGATGATGATGGCAAGCCTAAAAGAACTGGTACGCATTTTCTCTTTTACTAGGGTTTCTACAACTTTTTTTTTGGTCCATTTTGTTGTGCCTACCAGTTGGAATTTGATCCTAAGTTGTATCTACGTGATATCTTATGAGTTACTTTATATCCCGTAATTTTCTTGTTAACACCATTGTTTTCTTATTATAACCTTGTAATTTCAGTTAAATTTTGCCAAGTTTAATTTAAACTTTTGACATATCAATTTGTAATAAAGTTTAAATTTTTTTGTATGATATGTTAGCTAACTTAATTTGTTGTGTAAGTCATGAAAGATGTTTTAAGCCTTGTTGATTTGTCTTTAATAGTGAGTGATATTTATAATTTCTTCCTCTATTCCCTTAAAATAACCCCAGTACAAATTTATTTATTTATTTATTATTTTTTTTTCAAACCTTAAAAATGTAGATTGTAATAAATTCCAATTAATCTATATAAAATTTTCATAACATGGTTATGTATGATTTTGTTTGATTATTTTGATGTATATATACACAGTATATATATTGTTATCATCAAAATTTCACAATAATTTTTTTTATGTGTATTGATATAAAATTTCACAATATGTTTTGAAGATTGTAAACAGTCAAATGTAACCGTCTTTAAACAATAGTGGGAGTACATTAATTGTTACATGCTTACATCCATTGAACAAGTGGTAAGGTGTTGTATCTTTGTAACAACCAAGGTGTGAAGGAGATTATATACTTCATAATTAACTTAGGATCGGAATTTATAAGTGTTGACAGCGATGAATATTGTCTTATACTCATAAAAATCTTTATCTTTCAAAATCTAGCTACCTTCACATGTATATAGACTTGTCCAGTATATATATATATATATATATATATATATATATATATATATATATATATATATATATATATATATATATATATATATATATATATATATATATATATATATATATATATATATATATATATATATTGGGGAGAGGGGAAAAAAATTCCTTTGACTGGTGATGTCCCAGCGATGATTGCTTCTAACAGACTATTTAACTAATTAATGCATCATATATATATAAAAGTGATAATTGAGAGAGTATGAGACTGGTAGCCGAGCGAAGGTGGCTGGTATGGACCGTATGGTTTGTTAGGGGGAGGGGGAGGGGGAGGGGGAGGGGGAGGAAGAAGGGGTATATTAGTCCTATTACTTTTTACCAAAATTTGTCTTGTTACTTTTTTGAAATAAATGTGCCTTATAACTTTAATTAGGAGGATAAAAAGGAATCATATTTCCCTAATTTGGGAATGATCTTTAATTTAGTTTTAATGTCTTAAACACCTCATGCTCAACTCATTTAAGTAAACTTATTTTTTTTTTCTAAAAAAAAAAAGTAAACTTTAATTTAATTATCACCCAATTTTCCCAAACATTAAGTTGATTCTCTTAATAAACCAATAATCAAGGGTGCATTTTATTTACGGGTACCAATTTTACTTATTCACAAAGTGGTGTGGTCATCCATCATCATTAGGTTACTTTGTTATTGATATAGGGACCGCTCGTTTAGTTTTACAAGAATTACTTTGTCAATATTATAGGGGTTACTTAAGGGTTACTCGTTCAGTGTTACAAGGATAACTTTGTTCTTTTACAAGTGGTCACGTAGTGTGATGATCAGCCGCATATAAGACGCACCTATTTCACCAAAATTTATGAGACCTTTTTTTTTAGAACAAAACTTATGAGACCTTGTGTAATTGTGTTTGGTTATTAAATGAATTTAATAATTTTTATTACCTCGGCCTTATCATAACTTATTTATCCAAAACCCTTATTATAAGGATCTTGCTAACGAGTCCCGGGCATTAGATAAGGATAAATTATATTGGTTGAAATGGTATTAAGTTAGGAATTCATGACAAAATCACGCGTCGTTCGGTGTAATTAATGTTAATTTTACTCTAATAATTTGCACTTTAATTCTCTTATCTAACGCCCCGGGGGCGCTCATTAGCTTTTGCCTTATTATAATCTATTACGAATACAAGGTACTTCCTTTGTTTTCCGTGCTCAGATTTGTTAATGTACACAGACTTACAAAAAAATGTGCATTTGTAGGGACTGTATGGACTGCAAGTGCACACATTATAACAGCAATTATCGGCTCTGGAGTTCTTTCACTAGCATGGGGCACGGCGCAACTTGGATGGATTGGGGGGATTGCAACCCTTGTAATATTTTCCATCATCACGGGTTATACTTCCAATCTTCTTGCTGATTGTTACAGATCTCCTGATCCTGTCACTGGTAAGAGAAATCATACTTACATGGAGGAGGTTCGCGCTAATCTAGGTATAAAACTACTACATACATAGTTAATATTGTTTTTTGCTTATATGTAACATAACATAGCAACATTTTTGTACATGTACTCGTTTTGTAGTGACAAGTAACAATTGAGCTAGCATGCCTTACGATTTTTGGCTGATGAAAGTGTTATTTTCGGGTTTATATAGGTAGATTGAACTGCATTGCTTGTGGGACAGTGCAGTATGCTAATTTAACTGGAATGGTAATTGGTTACACAATTACTGCATCCATTAGCATGGTGTAAGTCCTATTTTTTTTTGTTTATCAACTCTGTATTCTGTTTTCAATTTTCGATAAAAAATGATAATTAGAGTATGTTTGGTTTGATTGAAATTATTTCAGGGCGGTCCATAAGTCGAATTGCTTCCATGAAAAAGGACATGCTGTATCCTGCATGTTTAGCAGCAACCCTTACATGATTGGTTTGGGGTTGTTTGAAGTATTCTTGTCTCAAATACCGAATTTTCATCAACTAACATGGTTGTCAAGTGTTGCTGCTGTTATGTCTTTTGGATATTCCTTAATTGGTATTGGACTTGCAATTGCAAAGATTGCCTCAGGTTAATTAAACTCTTTCAAATGCTGCATGATGATTTTGCTTTCAGAATTTTTCAGTAAATTGTACAATATAGCTTAACTTGAAATATATGCAGGGGATGGAGGGAGGACAACATTAACAGGAATTGAAGTGGGAGTTGATGTAACATCTGCTGACAAGACATGGAGGATGTTCCGAGCACTTGGTGACATCGCGTTTGCTTACAGCTTTTCTCAAGTCCTTGTCGAAATACAGGTAGTAAAACTACTTTGTGCTTCATTATTATGACAAAATTTTAGGAATGTTCAAGTAATTAAGTTCTAAGACATTTGCCTAATGATATTGCTCATTAATTTACTTTAGGATACACTGAAATCAGATCCACCCGAAAATAAGGTGATGAAGAAAGCAAGCACAATCTCTGTGTTCACTACAACATCATTCTACATGATGTGTGGCTGCTTAGGCTATGCTGCATTTGGAAATAGTGCACCAGGAAACATGTTAACTGGGTTCGGGTTCTACGAGCCTTTCTGGTTGGTAGACATAGCCAACATCTTCATTGTCATTCACTTAGTTGGAGCATATCAGGTATCACTTTGTCATTTTTTGTGTTACAAACTTGTCCTAAAAGAGTGCAAAGAGTTTATCTAGCTAGTTTAGATATGTTAGACATTCTAAACATGATTTTATAGTATAATTATTGAAGATTGATGATATTTTGTTATGATGGGCCAGGTATTTGCTCAGCCTGTGTACCATAAGCTCGAGTCATGGGCCAGCGAGAATTGGCCCAACTCAACATTTGTAAACAAAGAATATCCCATCAAAATAGGCAGCAAAGTTGTGTTCACTTACAACATGCTCAGGCTAATTTGGAGAACAATATTTGTGATCTTAGTAACAACATTGGCAATGGCAATGCCCTTCTTCAATGACATTCTTGCGTTTCTTGGATCACTCGGGTTTTGGCCATTGACCGTGTATTTCCCAGTAAGAATGTACATTGCTAAAAACAAGATCAAAAGGCGGTCCATGAAGTGGTGTATGCTACAACTTCTTAACCTGTTATGCTTCCTTGTGTCGTTGGCTGCGGCTGTTGGCTCAATCCAGGGAGTTAGCCAATCTCTTGGTTCCTCCAAGCCTTTCCAGTTTAAAGTATGATTTTATTTAGGATGGCCTTTTAGAAACAATGGTTTGCAAGTGTACATTATATGTTGTCCGAAAATTAAGATGTTTGATGTTTATGAGGCTAGGAAGAACACCTTTTCTTTGGAGAAATGCAACAATTTTTATGAAGAGTATTGCTAATTGCATTGGCAATTGCCTTCAACTAAGTACACTTATCTAAAATGTATGAAGAAATACAGATAACTATAAAGTGTCTTTAAATTACTAAGGATCAATCTAGCAAATATGTGAAAAATCATCTCTCAATTAAAAATATCTTCCGGAGATCCAACAAACATATATATGACAATGCATGGGCTAACACAATTATATAATATGACCGGCTCGTTTTGTGTGTGGCTAATCATACCATGTGATCACTAATATATATATATATATATATATATATATTTTTTTTTTTAAAAGTAACCCTTATACTACCTCTGTTTCGTATTAGTTGCAAATTTGGAATATTTTATATCTCACAAATAATACCCCAAAGTTGCAACTAATAAGAAACGGAGGTAGTAATTAATATTGACCGAGTAACCATATAATACGAAGTAACCCACCCCTTTAACATTGACCAAGTAACCAGTATTACACTAACGATGTAACCTCTATATGGCTGGCCACACGCGTTGGTGTGAGTCGTGTGACCAGCCACATATAAGAATTTGTGGAATCCTTAACAGAAAGATATTCAATTGCACACATTTATCTAATGCAACGCACTGTTTCGATTGCTCACACACATTCTCCTTTTCCTTGTCTAAAATAACCCTTCCTCAAAAAATATTATTAGTGCTTTGGAAATGATTTTCCCTTTGCCCGAATTGTATCCCACTATTTCATGCAATCATCGCTTCTTACACTTAACTATGTAGTGTGATTTTCATAGTATGAACGAGTCATATTAAAGTTTGGTTAAATCATTGAGGTCAGAAAGCTCAATCCACTTACAAATCATAGAAAGGTTTTATACTAAAATTAAATCAATTGGTGGCAGTTGAATACCTTCTTCTAGTTTAATGTTATGTATTTTTTTTTTCTTCTGATCCTCTCGTTTTTTTATTCGGGGTAATTCACATATGAATAATAATGAGATTTAACTAAGTCCATGATATAGGGTCCGTTCACATTTACTGAGCTGAGTTGAACTAAACTGGATTGATTGGAGCTGAACTGAACTAAACTGTGCTGAAATAAATATTTTATAAGAGAGGAAAATTAGGAGCTAAATTGAACTAAACTGATTGGAGTTGAATTGAACTGATTAGAGCTGAACTGAACTGAACTGATTGGAGCTGAACTGAACTGAAATGAGTTGAAATTAAGTAAATATGAACAGAACCTTGCTTAGACCTAAAGTAACAAAATAACATTTTGCACAAGAATAAAATCTTATCGGATTTAGAAATCCTTATTCGGCACCCATAAACATGATTAATTAACACTATGAACTAGTTGACCAAATTGATATGAAATGGAAAAATAATATTCTTTTACTTTTAAGTTAAAGGCCACTCATAAGATGCTTTTAAGTTGTAATTAAATATTTTGCTACAATAATTACTAGGGAGGACCATTCTACAAGGAGAATTTTGTCAATAAATCTGATTATTTAAACAAAATAATTGATGAATAATTTCAACTTAGAGAATAATGAATTTCATTAATAGTGTATATTCTATAATAGAAATGTCCAAATAATTGAGTTTGTCATTCATGCATTTTATAGTAGTAGAAGCGAATATGAAAAGCAATGGCTTATATATCAGTTAGCTGTTTATGGATGCTTCAAAAGATGAAACCATATCTTTTTAGATTTTTTGGTCACTAAATTGAATAAGCACTACGTATAAGTTCAACAAAAAATAAGTTTATCAAAGTGATATCAAATGACAATTTTTTACATAAATCAACGGCTTTTTAATTAAATGTGGACCTCATGCATGATTATTAGGCCTGTCAATCCTTGACCCGACCCGATAACCCGATCGAACCCGACCTGAAGTTACTGAGAGTAACCCAAACCCGACCCGATCCAAACCCGAATAACCCGAATCGACCCGATTTGACCAAAATTTAATATTTCGTAATAATATTAAGTTTTACACTATTTTTAATTGTTTCTAAGCATAACCCGAAATCGACATGAAATAGTGAAATCTTACCCGAACCCGACCCACTGACCCGAATTGCCACCCCTAATGAAGTAATGATTATTGATAAAATGGGACAAGCTCAAACTCTGAAGTATTTGCATGTAAAGAAAGTGTTCAAGTCTGAATTTTCCAATTGTGATGGATGATAGAAGGGTCAAATATTGTTAAGTACTCAACTCGTAGAAGCCCCAGTTGTGATGGATGATAGAAGGGTCATTTTTTTTTTTCTTTTTTGAAAATACTACCCGTATAAAATTTGAACATGTAATCTTCAATTAAAACATTCAAAGTCGTACCACCAAGCTGTGTCTTTTTTTTTTTTTTTTTTAAAAAAAATTTTAATATGCAAATTGATACAAGTAATAGGTGCATCTTGATTCTTTGTTATGTACGAGTATATATATATATATATTTTGTATGTAAGAGTGTAAGACGAGGATTTTTTACGAAAGTAAGCTTAATTGGCAAACAATTTACCAATCTAGACGCGTGGCCAAACTATTTACAAAACTGAGCTTCTGACATAAAACGCTGCCTCGGTCAGCGTTTTACCTTTGGTTATTATTTTTTTTTTTATAAAATTTCGTATTATGTGAAATACAAATTTAAAAAAAAAAAATGGAAATACAGTAAAACGATGACTCAGTCAGCGTTTTTTTTGTATCCATAACAGAGAAAAACGCTGACTGAGTCAGAGTTTTACACCTAAGCATAAAACGCTGCCTCAGTCAGCGTTTTATCTGCTGGCTGAAGGCAGCAACAGCAGGCCCCCAACAGCAGCCAGTGCAGCCCCCTTCCACATCCACCACCCTCTCCACATCCACCAACACCACCACCCTCCTCCTCCACATCCTCCACCACCCTCCTCCTCCACATCCACCACCACCATCACCCTCCTCCTCCACATCCACCACCACCACCACCACCCTCCTCCTCCACATCCACCACCACCATCACCCTCCTCCTCCACATCCTCCAACACCTCCACCACCCTCCTCCTCCACATCCACCACCTCCACATCCACAATTTATTTTGAACGAAATGAGTCAAACGTGGACAAATAAGGAATTTGAAATTCAAACAAGACATAAATTCATTCAAATAATTATTCAAATAATAATGTAATGTAAGTGTTATGTACAACAAACTAGAGAAGGTCATTACAGCAAATAAATCAGATAATTCTATCCTATTCTGACTCATCAATTTGGTGTAACGGCTCTCTATCCTGTATGTCCACTCTCGGCCTTTGACGACGGCTGTAGTGACGGACCGTGGTAAATGGGTTCGGGCGTACTGGCGGAGTCAGCTGGCTGGAAGATGGGTCATCAGGATGACGTAGGGGCGCGAAACTGCGAATGTCGTACTCCTCTGCGTTCGTGAATGACGAAGGATCACCCCCACAGCTACTCTGGCCAGCCTCGAACTGTGAGTGACTAGAGTGGCCGCCATGATCGTCCCGGGGGTGGACGAGATAGGCGTGACCATATCTCTGCAAGGTAGCCATGCCCATATCTTGCACCCGCTCGACCTGTGCTCTGGGCGGCTCAGGTATGCCTGGAAGGACGTCCGACAGTGCGTCAACCATCGCCGTCATATCCAACGCCTGCAGTAATTAAGGATGAGTTAGTTGAATGATATACAAATTTAAAATTGATAAAAATAAGTTAATCAAATACACTTACATATCCCCTGATCACGTCAAAGGATGGATGGTAATGTGCGGATGGCGGTGTGTAGCTGGGGTTGATGAAACGCCGTGTAATCCGCATGTACTAAACTAACATCAATTTAGGGCTTTTATACTAGACAATTATCAAATTACAACAAACCAACTTAGAATTATCAACATAATTGTCAATTTACATCAAACTACCTTAGAATAAACAACAACATTATCAAATTAAAACAATGTAGTATATAATTATCAAACTAACCTAGGTTTTAAAATTTTAAAAACAAATAAGTGAGAAGTACTAACAATGTGATTATAAAGAAGAGGAGAGGCGCGGCGGCAGCAGGCAATAGGCGGCGGCGACGGCGGCAGGCAGCAGGCGGCGGCGGCGACGGCAGAGCTTTGAGGAAGATAGGCTATTGCATGAGGAAGAGTGAGTTTGAGTTTTTAGTTTTGAGGAAGAGTGAGTGCGCGAAAAATATACCAGGCAAAACCGCTGACTCAGTCAGCGTTTTAAAGACAAAAACGCTGACTGAGGCAGCGTTTTTATGTATTTCCATATTTTTTTTAAAAAAAATTTGTATTTCACTAAATAAGAAATTTTTAAAAAAATAATAACAGAGGTAAAACGCTGACCGAGGCAGCGTTTTACCTCAGAAGATCAATTCCGTAAATAGTTTGGCCACGCGTCTATATTCGTAAATAGTTTGCTAATAGGGCTCAATTTCGTAAAAAATCCGTAAGACGAAGTAGAAGTCTTTGTTAAGAAGAAGACCCTTGTTAATTGGTTGCAAGTGGATAATCGCAGACCCTCCTGTAAGGAATGATGATGGAACTCTTTCACAAAAGTGAAAGGAATGTCTCTAACTCACCGATCATTAGTCATGTTTGGTAATTGACTTTTTTTTTTGTGACTTATTATTGTCTGACTTTTATTTTTTTGTATGTGGTCAATAGCCCTTAAAAAATATGAATGGCTTTTAGAGCACTCACATCAATGAGCATTTTTTTGCTCATGAGCAAAAGTGGTGAGCAAATTTGGTAGAAATGGTACTACATCAATGAGGAAAATGAAAAATGCTCATGAGCATTTCACAATTTGCTCATGAGCATTTCACAATTTGCTCATAGGATGAGCAAATTTCATGATGAATAGTAATGTCGTGGGCCCCAGCATTCATCCAAAATTGATGAGCAAAAATGATAGAAATGTTACTACATCAATGAGCAAAAGAAAATATGCTCATGAGCAATTCAATTATTTTTTGATCACTAGTGGGATAAAATTTCCTCACCAAAAATGCTCATGAGCAAATTTGGTTGAGAAGAGAGAGAAAGTGGCTAGAGAGAGAATGAGCAATTTTTTTTTTGCTCACTAATGTGAGTGCTCTTAGGTTAGATGATGATCAAAAGGTAGCTATTAAGCCATTTTTTTAAAATGCTATATAAGGCTAAAAATAAGCATTTAATACCTTTTATAATTTGGTATTAATTTAGTAATGCATGACAAAATCACACTCAAATTAATGTAAATTACTGTTATATTTTCACTTGTTTTTTCCATTTTTAGCTCTTTATGTGTTATATATAGCTCTCAGGGCTACATAAAGCATGTAATCTTTAAGACTAAGAATAAGTATTTAATACCTTTAATTTCCTTAATTTGATTTTTGGTTTTAAAAATGTGACAAATAACTCATAGTTAATGTTAATTGGATAAAGTTGTTTATCAATTAATTAAAAACACATTCTTTAATTAGTTCAAAATTTGAGTTTAACCCAAAAAAAGTCCAATAACTTAGTTGATCCCAATAAGTCAGACACAGAAAGATGGACACAACTGCACAAGATTTTGTACATAGGCCTGGCTCGACCTGATTTTTATCACCTCTAATATACAAAAATGCATTAATCTTCATTGCCAAAGTAATTAGTGAAGTTTTTTTTTACATGATTTCAGAAAGGAAAAAAAAAAATATAAGTAAAAAAAAAAAAAAAAAGTAATTAGTATTTAACATTATTGAAAAAAGCTTAAAGTTTTATGCTTTTTTTTTTTTACGAGAGGTTAATGCTCAATTTATATGGTTGACTATTATAATACACCTAGTTGTGACATAGTAAAAGTAAAATTTTTCAACATCGTACTGTATAAATTTTGTACTCCGTATTTAATATGAAAAGGTTTTAAATAAATGTAACAATTTAAAAGTATTGGAGGCTTATAAATAGTACTGGTATGTTTCTGGCAATAAAATAGTGGACGAAAAACACTCCCTCTTTTGAGTCAATTACAAATCTAGCTAGTTTTCTTAATTGGTTGTTTTTCACCATTTCACTCTTTCATTTCTTTGGCTTCTTACCAACTTACTACAACACACTAATCTAAAACTGCTTCCCCAAATTTTATTTTTCTAATGGGAGACCCAAGAGATGAAGAATTCCAACACAAAGATGGTGTCGTACCGCCTTCTATATACCAAATTCCATACGATAGTGAAGAGTTTGATGACGACGGCAAGCCTAGACGAACGGGTACTCTCTCTTTTTCTTTTTTCTTTTCCTTTTATCATCCAATGAACTGACCTGACCTAAATTGAATTGTCGATGATTATGATGAATTATAATACGGAGTATAAGTAACTTAAATTGGTTTGTCCCGAATTTACAATAATACTCAAAACTTAAATGGTATGAAAAACATGCATCAAATCACTTCATGCTTTTTACTCCAAATTCATGAATGTTTTGCTTAGTTTGTAATTGGAGCTAGACCGAGTCACTTGGTCTCAATGTCACCTTTGAATCTTAACACTTTAATTTATATTTCATGGTTGAGAGTTGAAACACTGCCAAAAGAGTAGGCATAGGCAAAATATTAGCTAACTAACTTCTTGCTTAAATCTTAATTGGATATAACTTGTGTCGGACCATGGTCTTAGGGACATTAGTTATATTTCAATTTTTGAGACTTTATTTTCTCCATTATTACATAGTTGCACTATTTGTGACATTTGTCTTCTTCTTTTTGTTTTTTTATTTTATTTTTATTTTTATTTTTTTTATTTATAAATTTTAATGCGTTACTTTAATCATAAGTGCCTTTAATTGTACAATAATGATAAGTTATACTCGTAACAAGATAATACCAACATTTTACACCTGGGTGCACATAGAGGTAAATGCATGTAAGGATGGTTTTTTTTTGCTCATTGAGCAAAAAATATCCTTAGGGTATACTTTGCATCCGAGTACATATATACAATTCTCTTAAGATACTACTGTACTATTTTGCAAGTATAAATCACTAACTCAATTATACTCGTATATGTTTTCAGTTTTCTACTCTCTACATCACTTTATTCATTTGGGTTACGGAAATTAAAGAATTTGAAAATTACATACTCCATAATTTGATGCTTTTTATTCATTAAAACATGTTCTTATGAGGTCATGAATATATACTCCAGAGTTGTTTCTCATAAATGACAATAAACACATGTTCTCCATGCATAAAAATTTATTTTCCCCATGAATTTTTATTTAATGTGAGCATGTATTTTAGGAATATATTGACAAATTTGGTTTATTTTCTACCAATGTAATTTTAGTCAACGTTTTCAAGGTTTGAACTTTAAAGAGAAATATGCTGTAAAAAAAGAATAAAGGGACGAAGTGAATATCATTTACGAGTACTCCAATGAAATTTTATTAGTCAGCATTATCAAAGTTTATCCTTCAACAGAGACATTGTGTTGAGTACTTCTGATCTGTTTTTTTTTTTTGGTACTAGTGAAGTAGTGAATAATCTTATTATGATATTATGATGCAATCGATGCAAATAATATGAAACGGAGGTAGTGAATATGTATAAGAAAAAACTTTAGCCTAAAAAAGTTTTACCCGTCATAAAAAACTCTTTTACTCAGCCAAAAGCCAAGCACTTTACAAATATTGCTAGCATCTGCAGCTCAGCTTAGTCTAAGCTAGAACACTAAATTATTAAATTCTCCAATGTTGATGTATATAATTTATCAATTATATATAATTTTACAGGAACTGTATGGACTGCAAGTGCACATATTATAACAGCAATTATAGGTTCTGGTGTTCTTTCCCTAGCATGGGCAACGGCGCAACTTGGATGGTTAGGAGGAATTGCTACTCTTTTAATATTTTCTGGCATCATGCTTTACACCTCCAACCTTCTCGCGGATTCTTACAGAACTCCTGATCCCATCACCGGAAAGAGAAATTACTCTTACATGGACGAGGTCCAAGCCAATCTAGGTACATGTGTACCAGTTTGATAAATTAAATATCTTTAATTGCGTATTAGTAAAAAAAAAAAAAAAAGACTAAAAAGTTAATCTATTGAGACGTTTATAACAAGATCCATTTTAACTTTACAGGTAGATTCAGTTGCATTGCTTGTGGAATACTTCAGTACGCTAACCTAACAGGTTTCGTAGTAGGCTACACAATTACTGCACCCAAAAGCATGGTGTAAGACCTTCTATCAAAAGCTCAATCTTTTGCAACTATTGTTAAACGACCCTGATCCCATGTAGGCATATTGTTAAACGACCAACTCAACCAAAAGCATAATCTGATAATTAAGACCCAGAAATATGTTTTTTTATTCTATGAACATATATGAAGGTAAATGAATATAACTAAGTAAAGTAATTTGATGAAAATATTTCAGGGCAGTCCAAAAATCAAATTGCTTCCACAAAAAAGGACATGCTGCTTCCTGCAGGTTTAGCAATAACCCTTACATGATAGGTTTCGGAATCTGCGAGATATTTTTGTCACAAATTCCCAACTTTCATGAGCTAACATGGCTGTCAACTATAGCTGCAATCATGTCTTTCGCGTACTCCTCAATTGGTGTAGGACTTGCACTAGAGAGACTTATCTCAGGTAATTATACTTAGTCAGTTTCTAAGTCCTAACTCTGTTTAATTCCCCTGCTTTTCTGATAGCAATTTAGCTATGTTGTGTAGGGAAAGGTGGGAAGACTAGTTTGACAGGAGTAGAGATAGGTGTGGGTATATCTGCTGCTGAGAAAACATGGAGGATGTTAAGAGCGATTGGTGACATCGCGTTTGCTTATGGCTTCTCTCAAATTCTTGTTGATATACAGGTAACTTTGTGCTATCCTAGCTTGATCATGTAACCATTTTTATGGACTGAAGAACGCGTTCTTAGAGTTGGAGTAATACTAGTACTACCGAGGTTTAGTTGTGGCATGAGATCGATTTTCCTAGCAAAAAATACTCACAAATTTGTTATCATTACCATAATTAATTATTGTTTACCTTGTGAATTTCAATGTCTTAAGATTACATTGTCAATGAAACTATTGCTTAATCACAGAATTGTTTTACGGTCTCAGGACACGTTAAAGTCACGTCCAGCAGAAAATAAGGTGATGAAAAAGGCGAACGCAATATCAATGTTAACAACCACAGTATTCTACATGATGTGTGGTTGCTTAGGCTATGCAGCATTTGGTAATGATGCACCAGGCAACATGTTGACCGGCTTTGGCTTTTACGAGCCTTTCTGGTTGATAGACTTGGCCAACATCTTCATTGTCATTCACATAGTTGGAGCATATCAGGTATCTAACAACATTACCTCGACTTCAAACACATTTCGAATTTACCTCCAAACTAGACTTTAGTCACATTATATAAAAAACATGTTATATATATGATCCTAAGAGTTTTTGCTATGATGGGCCAGGTACTTGCTCAACCAGTCTACAAGATGATCGAATCATTCGCCATCAAAAAATGGCCCAACTCATTTTTTGTCAAGGCAGAGTACCCCATAAAAATAGGCAGCAAAACTGTGTTAAGCTTGAATTCTCTAAGGCTAGTTGGAAGATCAATATTTGTAATTTTTGTAACCATAGTGTCCATGGCAATGCCCTTCTTCAACGATGTCATTGCGTTCTTAGGAGCACTCGGGTTTTGGCCATTAGCCGTGTATTTCCCAATCCAAATGCACATTGCTCAACACAAGATCAAACGATGGACATTCAAGTGGTGTATGTTACAACTTCTCAACTTTCTTTGTTTGGTTGTTTCGTTAGCTGCAGCCGCTGCTTCGATACAAGGGATTAGTGAATCTCTTCGTACAGCCAAGCTCTTTCAGTTCAAAGAATAGTGAAAACAATTACGAGTACATTTTTGTAAGGCAATGAAAAAGTTAATGTTTTGTATGGTCTAGTGTAATTTGTATCAAAATTCGTTATGTTGTACGCTTAGAAGCATGCTAAGAATATGATATACAGAAATGAGTAGTTGGAGTGTTTGTGATAATGTCTACTAGCTAAATTTGTTAAAAGTCTAAATTTGTATGTACTCTGTAGTTTATAACATAATCCTTATTAAAAAGTGCTTGTGTAAAATTTGAAAATTATTAAATTATTTCGTTTCTCTCTTCGGAGAGAATCTTCACCATAATATATGTTAATTCGGATGATATACTACAAGAGGGGGGGTGAATTGTAGTATGTTCCTAGTGCCTACTTTTCGCGGAATATAAAACTGATTGCTGTTAGGAACTTAGACAATGCAAAGCGGATTTTACGAGGAAACCATTCAGGGCCCAACTGGAAGTAAAACCTCGACTCTACCTTAGGGATTTCAAACACAAACCACTTCACTATAATAGGGCAAACACCAAGTTACAACCTATTAGACACGGACCTTTATTTCACAAGTTCCTCACTGGACTTGCTACTTGATAGGATCCTATCCTACCCAATCTAAGTTCCATACTTAGATTCATGACAGGGTAAAGTCGTATCCCCTTATCAAAAATAATTACCTAAATCACTAACTAAGGTAGATAGGGAAGTAGGGTCGATCTCCACAGGGAAACTAGTCTTTTTACTCCTAATTTATTATTATAATCTAAACTATTTAAGTAACCAATATTTATAGTTAAATAAGAAACTAAACTACAAAGGGTAGGAAAAGGGAGAAAATAATATATGAAAGGATCTAGGGCATAGGTTCACCAATAAATAATACTCCAGGGTAAAACATAGTAATCAATCATTGACATTGCATAAATAACATGATTAACAGGCTCTCGCAATTTATTAATCAACATAGATCTAACAGGCTCTCGCAATTTACTAGATCTAAGTTCTTATTGAAAATAGCCTTTAATATCAAATTAACATCTGCTCGATTCATCAATTTAATATTGCTATACTTTTACAAGCCGCAATTGTAAAACATTAAAACAATTCAATAGGAAATTATCATGCAATATCAATAATCAATAATAGTCAATCATCAATGCATCAATTAACCAGATTGTAAAGGGCTTTCGCTACGTATTACAATCACAGAATTAATCTACCGGTATTAAATCTCATCTCTCGAATCTCGACTTAACCATTTATAAATTAATATGCCTATTGAAACTAGACCTAAACATTAATTCTCATCTCTCGAATCTTGAATCAATATTGTCAAACTCATGCATAAAAGATAGGCCTAATCTAGTCACAGAGCATTAAATCAATCAATAGGAAATTAATCTAACATTGATAATTAACAAGAATAAATTACCCCTTCATATTATTTATTAGATCCCCATAAACCCTAGAAATTAAACTACTCACACATATTAAAAACTAAACAAATCAAAGCAATAAAATAAGACATGATTAAAGGAATAGAATAAATAACTAAGATTAAGAGAAGAGGAATCGTTACCAAAATAAATCTGGAATTAAAAGTAGAATTAAGAACAAAGGTTTAGAGAGAGAATTCTAAGAGAATAATTAAGAGAGTAAAGAAAGTAAAGAGGAGAAGAAGAAGAAGTCCTAAAACCGTATTACGGAAGAGTATTTATACTCCGTACAAAAATCCTAAACTAAAACAAATTAAAACGACGCTAATCGTCTCCTAAATATACACGCGCCCGATCGGGCAAGGCACCGCCCGATCGGGCGTGCCTTTTTTCACCTCTAATAGCAATCTCGCGCCCGGCCGGGCGCGTCACCGGGCGATTCTCCCGCCCGGCCGGGCGCGCCTCCGGGCGCCAGCCTTTTTGGCCGGGCGGATCATTTGGGCCACTATTTGGACTTCGATTGGGCTCCAATTCTTCGGACCAATCTGGGTTTCCTCTTTGGGTCTTGAATACTCAGTCCAAACGCCCCGGTATCACCTATACCAAGCCCTTAATCACCGGTTCGATGACTCTAACCGGCCCTGGGCTATAAAATCTGGTCGTGCTTTTCCAATGCTCGTGATTGCTCCTAAATATCTCGGGAAAATACTCCAAAAGCATAATTCCCTGCAAAAGTCAACCAAACCTACGAAAACACTAGAAAACACCAATTAGTAATAAAAGTGGCTCTAAAGAGCCAAAAACACTACTAATTACGACCAAGGGACGGGGGTAAAATACAATATAAAATAGACACATCAATTCACTCGTACCACCAAAGTACTACACGTACTGCCAAAGTACAAACTGCTTGTACCACCTAGGTACAAAACTACTCGTACTACCAAAGTACTACCCACTCGGCCTCACACTAGAAGCTCAATTGGCTTCACCTAGAAGCTCACACATTGCACACTTACAATATAATTATTACGAGAATCCTCACGAACTCTCACACCCCAATACATAAAACACTCAAAACCCTTTTTCCCAATTACAAGATCTCAAAGAATAACTCTAAATACATACCAATGAATAAAGAGATAAAACTAATATGCTGGACACTTCAAGATCTGTCTGGAACTTACTGGACGAACTGTAACTGAAACCTGACTGGAACTTCGACCTGGAGGTTTGACTTAGCTTCGTGGTGAAGGATGAAACCATTAAGCACGACCACTACACTTCGTCTACCTCAACTTTGAATGAATACATATGAGCATATTTATAGTACACCCAAATTATTCTTTTCGTAAAAGATAAGTTTTATTAAAAGATAGAAATAAAATATATTTTCCAAAAATAAGTTTTCCAAAAATATATCTTTTGTTAAGAATATAATCTATCAATAATAATAAGATATATTTACCATAAAATCAGATTTTATCTAGATCATATATTTTCCAAATATACTAATATATCTTTTAACAAAAGATATACTTACCATGTCTTTTTACAAAAGATATACTTGCCATATCTTTTTATAAAAGGTATACTTACCATATCTTTTACAAAAGATATATTTACCATATCTTTTAACAAAAGATATACTTGCCATAAAATTAGATTTTATTTAAAACTTATTTTACTGAAAATATTTTCCAAAAATAACTTATCTTTTTCCAAAAGGGATTTATTAGAAAATAAATATTTTTATTCTGTAAAACCAAATCCCTAAAAAATATGCACGTATTAGGTAAATATTTATATCATTAAATTCGACCTGCGACCTTTAACGACGTGCAGACCTAAGTTCCGATTAGGGTTCGGAACTCTGACAGTCTCTGAGTTCCTGACAAGTCAGTAACTCTAATTTCATTGACTATCATGAGTTCACCTTGGTTCTTTAGACTTGTTCCAGACTGAATTTTATGTCCAACATACTTACATGAATCCTAGAGCGATATATTTCGATTTCTCCGTCTTCATGTTGTTTCTTTGAAACTCTTGTTCTGGAATCTTGTAGTATTGATGTATTCTAGATCTCGGGGCAACGTTAAGTTCCTGTTAGGGAACTCTTCATGTACCTGTTGGGGAACACGGAACTCTTCATGTACCTGTTAGGGAACATGCTCCGGCTCTCGTGGGAAAGCCTGCCAAAGGTTCCTTCTGCATCTCGTTAGAGAATATCTTATGGTTCCTTCGTGGTTTGGTTCTTGTGGGAGAACCTGCTTTAGGTTCATTCATTCCCTCTTGTTCCTCTTGAAGTCTTCTATGTTCCAACCCATTGACTTCACCTAAGTCAGTTCCTGTCTTCACATGAACACTTAAGAGAAACATTAGATTGAAGTTTGTTTGTCATAAACAAACTTCAAGTGAGAGAACTAATTAAACTTAAAGCTTATGTAAATACTCCTACACATATACGACTCACGTATGTATAGAGTACTTACCTCATGAAGCTAACATATGCAAACACCTATTTACATAGTTACCTTCATAGTTCCTTAGCCATCATCATGCTTATTAACCATAACACTCATCATTGTTCTTGTTCTTCTATTGCTTATCATATATTGCTTAAGTTCCTTATATATATACTTGTCATTGCTCAGGTTCCTTGTATCCTGTTCCAAGTATAACTTGTTCTTTCTATGCACAACTTAACAAACACATTAGATAGATAATCATCATTAGTTTACAATCATCAAAACCTAATTACTCAACAATTTCCCCCCTTTTTGATGATGACAAACTAATGATTCTTATCACACATTAAAGAATAAATCGTTGTACATTTATTCCCCCTTAGTTCTTCAAGGAAATAACATTTAGAACAAGTTAGGAACATACACAGGAACTTCACATAGTTATAAACTTAGCAATACACATCCTTATTATTATATATATACTTTCAAAGATCATGTTGCATGAACTTTAGACTTAACTACTACATACCATAAGCATCATACATATTCTTCCCCCTTTTGTCTTTATCAAAAAGGGTATTGTTCCACAAGTTTGTTTTCCGTAAATTACACACACATAAAGTCATATGTCACACCTACCACCATATAATAAGTAAATATATAATGGTTAAACACTTGATGTTCCTAAAAGCCTCAAGGTACTCACTTTTCAAACTGGATACTATTTCCACACTAATTTCCAACTCACAATCCAAAGGCTCAACTTCAAAACCCTTAATTGAACTTGACAAATAAGAAGTTAAAAATCAAGTAAAGATCAAAGCTAAAAAGTTATAAATGGATTGCATGAATAGACAAATGAAAGCGCAAGCTCAAAGGATATATAAAGAAGCATATGGAACAAAATAAGTAGAGGGAACATGAAGTGGAATTTGTGCTCTTCGTTTAGACCTTTTGAGATGATAAGGTTCACCACATTTGTTCTTCATTTCATACTCTTGAACCTCCTACTAAACACAACACATATTCATCTTGCTAATTGATAATTAAGTTCCCTTACTTCAACTACCAACTTCTTTGAGAAATATTCTGCTTACTGGAACTTAAACAGATTTCAGCTTCATAGTCAAGTTCCTTCAACGTTTAATGTTGCTCCTTCACTAGCTAGCTTACCAAGTATACGAGTACACGACATCAACATAGTCAATATTCTTCATATTTAGATATCTAGGAAATTAAATATTGGATCACCCTTATTCTTCTTCTTCTTCTTTCCTTTTTTTTTTATTTTATTTTTTTTAACATAGGGTGTCATTACACAGATTTTGCATGCTTTCCTAGAATAACACA